AAAGACTTCTCAGTTTTTACCAGTTGTAGCATCTCTTCCTTTTGCAATTATGCTGATTATTATTATTATTATTTTGCTGACATTCAGTTTTCCCGTGCTGCGAAAAGCTACGCTTTTTAACTTTTTAAAAAGCAGAAAAGTGAGGCTGCATTTTAATAAGTCAACGAAGGACCTTGACTTTGTGGCAACGTTATGTACAAAACGACACCCAGGTCCTGCAAATCTTAGGACTGTCATTCCTTACGTTTTAGAGCAACGTGCTGTGCTTGCAAGCAAACTACTAGACTGTCCTTGAATCGACGGTGTCCCTTGTTTGTCATACATACCTAATTCTGTCCTTTCCCCATAATTGTGCTACTCTTTCTTTTCTGGGGCTGGGGGGGGGGGGGGGGAGGGAGAGGGGAAAACAATTTGTTCTGGGAATCTTTTTTCCTCTCTTCTGAACATCCTGCTTAGATGAATAAATATAGCATCATATTAGCCGTCTATTGATACGTGTAAATAAAAAGATTTGCACAGCTAATACACAAGTGAATAAAATATGCATGTTTATTAGTCCAATTTATCTTACTGCCTGCTGCTCTTTCTGCTTCACGTAGCAGTAAGAACTGGGAAAATTAAAAATGCTGCAAAACTCCCAGAATCATTTTTAGTGCCCAGAATACCTCTGGACTCCAAAATGACCTCAAGAAGGTTCTTCAGGGGGAAAAAAAATTAGCCTTATGGGCTGATATGACCCAATTCCTAATTGGACTGTGTCCATTCCATTCACTCCCCATAAATATGGAAGCCAGAATGAAGTATTCTGACGCGTTCTCTGTCTAAAAAGAAACTGAGAATCCAACTCAAATTGTTCTCTCTACCACTCTTTGGAAACAGTGGTCCACAAAACTGAAAAAGGTGCCAAATGGACCAGGACAGACTGACCTTGTCAGCCTGGTTTGAAAACACTCCTTTATCCAAACTGCTGTCTATTCTTGAGGGTCAGCAAGTTCTTGAGAGTTAAACGTCTTCTCAGCTTACAATCCAACAAGGATCTTTCAAGATCAAAATGCAGATAAGTGACCTGGAGCCTTGGGAAATGCGCTGCACCATCCAGCTATAGCTATTCCGTGTGTTATATTAAGCCCTGACCCTGGGAGGAAAAAATATACCATCTTTCATAATTGTGTTGCTGACTCAGAAAGGTGAATTGTACCAAGTTACAACCAATTTATTGGCCTGTCAATAACACCCGTGACAGCTGCTGCTGCTGCTGTCAACTTCTAAACCCCATGAAGAACATCAGTCAAATGTTGGCTCTTTTGACCTTATTTACTGATATCTGAATGCTTGAATTATAGGTTTCCCCAAAATCCAAAAACACCCACAAATCTCAATACTTTTTTTAATGATCAATATTTTGTTCCAAAAACATACAACCTTATCAGCTAATAAGAGCTATTTTACAAACATACATACATCTGGATAATTAGAACAATAAATTCTTTTTTTTTTCTTTCCTTAGACATTCAAACATGATCAGTTAAAAATACAGGATATTTGATCTGTCTTATTGTTGTTGTCCTTTTGTTTGTTGGTTTGTTTTTTTGCATTTTCCTTTCCAAAGAGTATTTTCAGATTGGAGTCTTGTTTTTTTTTTCCTTAAAAGCAGAATCTGTTAAAAGGAGTAATATGCATGGCAAGCAAATAAAATACAATTCTAGCAGTTAGAGCATTACAACAAACAATTCCATTTTTTTTTTTTTTAAAAAAAGAGAAGAGCAGAGTAACATTCCAGCTGCAGAATCCTTTTCGACAGCATCTGCCTATAAGTTGGTGCAGGGGGGGAGGGAGAAGAGAGGAATAAGAGCAAGGGGCTTCCTTGGAACGAAAGAGAAGGGTGGGGGAGGGAGATGCAATTCACTCATCAAATGTACAACCAGCATTGAGATTCTAAGATGAGGAAACCGCACAAATAAAGTAGTTGTTTTTTTTCCCCCCCTACCAAAACCAAAAAAGTTATCCTGACATACGGCAGAGTAAAAGATAATACTGTATGGGTCTTTCAGCTACGCAACTTCTCTTGCACTTTAGTTGTTAAGGGTCTCCTTTTTTTTTTTCTCTCAGAAGCAATCAATATTTTCTGGGAGGAACTCAGCACAGTCAAGAATATCCAACATCCCAAAGCAATAAGGGGAACCGTATGATCTTTCCCTCAGGCCATCAAGCGATCCTATTTCTTGCCACTCCTACTCTGAAGGGTCGATTGGGGAAGAAAATTGGCAGGCGGGCGAGAGAGGACTGTTATGAAAAAGGTAAACCCCCCCCCCCCCCCAAAAAAAACCCAAAACAGAGTAAAGACAACCTGACTTCAATTTGTCTCCTGCTCAATGTCTCATTGTGTGAATCAGTGGCAAGCTCACGTCTACACAGGCAGCAAGGCAAGACAGAGGAGCTGGTTAGAGCTTGGAGGGGTTAGAATGACCTCCAGGCAGGACCGGGAATCATTGTTTCCAGCCTCATGTAGGGACATGGGAGAACAATTTTCAAAAATGAAACACATGCTTTGCAGCCTGGCAGGCCTTGAGACGTGGCTGTTCAGTGCTGATTTAGTCAACGGGGAAGTAAGAAGCTGAGAACTCAGAGCTAATGAGAGGCATCTAGGAAAGCAGATTCCTTTTTATGAATTGCATCTGTAGCTTCTGATGGCTCTGGACAACCCTAAGCCCCAGCAATCCACTATCCCATCAGAATCCTCCAAACTCTCTTCGTCTTGGGCAGTGTTTCTGAACCTTGGGCATTTTTAAGATGGGTGGACTTCAATTCCCAGAATTCCCCAGCAGCAATGCTGGCTGAGGAATTCTGGGAGTTAAAACCCACATGTCTTAAACTTGCCAAAGTTCAGAAACGCTAGTCTTGGGTGTACAGTCAAAGGACATGCAAACCAAGAGGAAAGGAAGCTGTCTTTAGACTCAGAGTTTGTACTTTGTTGAGCCCAAATTCCAACATGCCAGTCCAATAAATCCAGGTTAAAAACAAAGGCATCCTAAATATGAAGCTAGCGCAAACAACATAATATTCTCTGGTTAAAAAAAAAAAAAGTTTTTCATTGCTTCTATTATTTTCAGCCAGCCAAGGGTGGGTGGGTGGTGAGAGTGACAGTGTGAGAGTGAGAAAAGAAAGAAAGAAAGAAAGAAAGAAAGAAAGAAAGAAAGAAAGAAAGAAAGAAAGAAAGAAAGAAAGAAAGAAAGAAAGAAAGAAGAAAGAAAGAAAGAAAGAAAGAAAGAAAGAAAGAAAGAAAGAAAGAAAGAAAGAAAGAAAGAAAGAAAGAAAGAAAGAAAGAAAGAAAGAAAGAAAGAAAGAAAAAGGATGTGAAGGAGAAAAAGATGGGCCCAAGGAAGACATGATCACAGCCAGTGGGGAAGATTAGGGAAAGTCTCTTTGGCTGGAATTCCTCATGGCTGATCTAGAACATCAAGGATCCAAAAGTTCGACATCAATGGGAATCCCACAAAGTGCATTTTTAGGGTTGACCCTTTTCATAAAAATGGACCTGTGCTCGGGGCCTGGTGTACAGTAGACGTGCGAGGGACTCGAGACATCTCCTGCGATATTCAGTTACGATGCTGGAAGCAGTTGGTGATCCCCCTTTCTCACAACCTTCTCTTTCTTAATCATAAAATAATAATGCCCTTAACAGGAGATTGTGTAATAGGTGGCCTAGAGAAGCCTGGACCAAAAGCACACACACACACACAACACACACACACACACACACGGAGACAAGAACAGAGTGCTCTGCTTTACTCTCCAGGAAGCGGGTGGGGGAAGGCAAATGATCTGTCCTCTGTAGAAGTCAAACAAGCCTTCATTTTTGGCCCTTTGTCTGCCTGGCAGAGCCTTTGGGCATCCTGACCCCACCTCTCTTTTTCAGGATGCTGAAGCACTGCGTGGCAGAGGTATGGCAGAGGATCAGACACTGGTCTTGCCACAAGATCTGTAAAGAGTGGCATCCAAACATCCCCAAGAATTTACCAATTTCTGGGCTCCTTCACCTACTTATATTGAGGGAAAGGTCTACATCTGGATCTGACTTCCTATGGCTCCACAGATGAGGAACTGAAGCATGGGAAGGTGAAAATGCCAGGGTTCAGGGGCCAAAGTAAAAAATGTATTTGTTAAAACTTCTTCGCTGCCCATCTCGCCTGGAAGTGACCAAAATGCTTACCACTTTGAAAATAGGGAAATACTTTTAAAAAAACAGGGTTAGCTATAATATGGGTCTGATCTTCTGAAAAATAAATTTCCACTTGGAGAATTGCTTGGAATTTTAGGAGGGAGAAGTTTAGAACTGAGAATCTGCAGGCTGGCCCTGATAACAAGGAGCTGAAAAGAATCCCTTTTGAGTATTTGGTAGCTTCAGACCCAAATTACTTCGTGACCCAGATAAAATAGGAAGTTTCCTGCCTTCAATATGCACCAGTACATCGATTGGAAATATTAGGGAAGGGGGGGGGGATTCAACAATAGTTCCTGCTCTTACAGCTCTTCCCTGTAAGTTGGAAATGGATCTGGCTTCCTGGCAATGGGGAAATTAATTAATGGAGCATATTCTACAATATTGACGCTGAAAGTAAGAAGAAGAAGAAGAAACTCCACACTTTACAGGGCATTCAGCGTGGTTTTAAAACATTGAAGGGATTTCTAGAATTGGGCATGTTTAGATCTGGCTTGCCAGAAAAAAAGAAAAGACCTAAGGATTGGACAGCTGGTACAGGGAGAAAGGTTTTTCGAGTGAGATGTATCCTGCATGAAAACAAACTACTCAGAGTAGACAACCCCACCCAGGGACTTCATTATCTACATCAATGCTATAAAGCAGGGGTGTCCAACCTTGGCAACTTTAAGACTTGTGGACTTCAACTCTCAGAATTCCTCAGCCAGCAAAGCTGGCTGAGGAATTCTGGGAGTTGAAGTCCACAAGTCTTAAAGTTGCCAAGGTTGGACACCCCTGCTATAAAGCTTGAAAAGGCCCAGCTCCATCAGGATATCAGCCCTGCATTGAGATTATTATACCCAGAGGTGGTATCTGTTCCTGATTCTTCTACTGCAGATGTTCCTAGTGTGATTTCAGAGCGTTTTTTGCATAAAAAGAAAAAAAAAATCCCAGCACTATTCCAAGCTAGGTCTCGCTCAGTCTACTACCCACACCGGTCAGTAAGGCACACTTCTGGACACTGAACAATTCTGGCCCCTACCTTCCAACATAGTGGCTATCTTCTGCAGCAGTTACACTGCACAGTTCATTAGAAACACGGCGGCCTCAGAAATTTCTGACAAATGTATCGCTTTCTCTTAACTGGCAAAATACCTCCGCTCCCACTCCAGGCTACAAATATCGAGCTATTGCTTTCAAAAGGAAGTCACAATAAAACCAGTACCTGGGCAGGGAACACAGCTCCCAAATTCTGATCCTTATCTCTCTTTAATTCAACACAGGAAAAACAAAGAGAAATTTGGCTGCCAGTTTGAAATCCTTCCCTGGCTATGTAGTGTACACAGAATTGCACAAGAAGAAAGGCCGTCTGCATGCTGCTAGATTTCGCTCCCCCCACAAAACTCCTTCTGAGGAACATTGTTGGCAGAATCCAGGGGGAAAATCACACACACACACACACACACACACACACACACACACCTCAGTTCAGAAGAAGGGTTCAGGAGAGGAAGAGAGATGCTGGGAACCTAGCAAACTGGCACTATCATTTTTTTTTAAAAAGCAAAATAAAATACAAATTAAAGTGTGCTTTCAGTACACGGAATGAAGTCAAATAAATACATTGATTTTTTTTTTAATGTATAGATACATTTTTATATCCTACACCCAGAACTTTATACATTTGGTTTCTTCTTTCTGTTCCTCTTTTTTTCCTCTGTTTGGAATCAAAAAGAATTTCTGGTAGCAAGAGGAGGGGAACTAAAATCACCCCACCCTCTCCCTGAAAGGCTAGTGCAGACACCTCAAAGGAAAAACTGCCCCCTTCTCCACTATGTGGAGTCCCCCACCCCCCTCGCCTGAAGGGTCCATTGAAAGAGGCCTAAGGCCAAGAGAGTCCAGGCAGAGGCCGGCTGAGGCTAGCAGAGGCTGACTCAAGGCAGAAGGTTCCATCCAATCTCCAGACTGGCAAGCAGGTGATTAACTTTTATCTGAGGACAAAAATAGAAACAGAAAAAAAAGTGCTGAAAAGAAAACCACCAAGAATCTTCTCAATCATGCAGGTTATCCCAAAGGTGCTTTTCCAAAAGGCAACTGGATTTTCTTGTGGTTTTTTTTTTTTCCCTTTGAAAGCATTTTGCTTCTCATCCAAGAAGCTTCTTCAGTTCTGAGAACTGAACAGATAAACCATTTTTACTGATTTCTAAAATTGTATCAAAATTCTGAACCTGGAAAGATTTTGGAACCATTCCTCCCCCCAAGCTGGTTCTTTAGAATGCAATTGTTCCATTAATTAAGGGGTGGTGCAACCCTTTCCAAGCTGAGATAGATTAAACTTGGCCTTTAAATGGCATGCCAAGGACATCTCTCCACAAATTAAATGTAATTTTGTTTGATTAACATTTAAATAAGATGAAATGTTGCCACCCTGTTTATCCCTGACGCAATGTATTTAATAATGCCCAATATAAAAATGTGGCAACAAGGGCTTTTGGGAGTCCTAGACTGGGCATCTTTGTTTAGACAGGGACACAAGTAGACGTTAGCAAAAGGGAAAATGCTGAGCGGAGAGGACACCAGGCCAGAAACGCGCAATCAGCAACACTAGGCATTGATTCATAATGTTTTGTAACCGGTTTAAAAAAAAAAAAAGTGTCATGAAAACTGAAGAATTCAACAAGCACCACTCAGTCGCTTCCCTTGGAGCTAAATCCTGCAAATCATTAACACGTTGCTTTCCTATCAGCTCAGCTATTAGAGGAATAGGACAGGCCTACCTGAATGCTCATCTGTGGTGATGGAGCCAGAGAGCCTATGCTGAAGAAGAGCGGCGTAGTTTTCCTCCACTTCCTGAAAAACACAATCCACCATACACCCTTGAAGAGATTCTGATGAACTACCATGGCGAAGTACTCAAGAGCAGAGGTCTCCAACCTTGGCAACTTTAAGACTTGTGGACTTCAACTCCCAGAATTCTCCAGCCAGCTCTGCTGGCTGGAGAA